GTTGAGCATTGCCCCTACTTTTCTTCTTGGTGGATGGCATGCAGGAAGTCTCCTGGGGGTGATCAACTGAAATGTATATAGCCAAGGATGATAATAACCCCAGGGGACCTAGAACGCCCAGTGTAGGTGTAAGGTTACAGCTGCATGAGTGCGATCAGGCGTCCAAACACAATCTGTATATTGTAAAAATGATTATCACCATGAGGAAGGGAGGAGTGGATATAAGCTGTGGTAAAAGTACTCTCAATAGAGACCAAAGACCCAGATGCAGGCCTCAACACTTGTTATGGGGTCAGATAGGGCACAGGGGCAGTTATTGTATAAATCCCCTCGGATACTGCTCCAGAACCCACCAGAAGGGGTGTAGGGAGCCCAGGTTCCTCACTCCCAGGTGGCTGCAGGCCACAACAGGCCTCCAGGCCCAGTAGGGGCCGCGTTTATAAGAGGAAGGGCCTCCAGGCCCGCAATTGCAGGCTACAGTCTCCGGAGCACAGATAGGGGACCCGATGGTCGCCAACCGCCCTCCCCCCGGCAGGCTGTACTCACAGTGCTTCAAAAATGGTGCCCAAAACTGAGCCAGGCAGTGCAGTGGCAGGCCTCAATAGGCCGTTGCTGCGGAGAGGGGTCAAAGCTGCTCAGCTCCCCTCCTCTGGGTGCAGGTAGGGATGGTAGGTCATCCTGTGCCCACCGTGGGTCCACTGCCACCTGGATGGTGATGAGGCACTGGAGCTCAGGATTATGCGGCTGTTCCAATCACCATCTTGGACACACCAGGGTAAAACAAATCTTAATGCCTAAGCACAATTTTGCAGCTTTGACATGTGTTAGTAAAACACTCCACGTCACCACAACACCTTATGCACTGACACTGATACCAATTTAAAAAAAAATCCTAACCTTTGACCCTGACCTTGACCCAAACACTAACCCTGGCACTGAACTAGATCAAAGCTTGATCTAGGTATTTTTTTCTTTATTTTCTTTCTTTTATTTTTTAATAGTTATTTATTTAATCTTTTTATCACAAACAGTTGTTTTTTGTTCTCTATGCAAGGAGAGAGAGAGAGAGAGAGAGAGAGAGAGAGAGAGAGAGAGAGAGAGAGAGAGAGAGAGAGAGAGACAAAGTTTCTCTCTCCTCCATTCAGAGAGAAAGAAAAAAAACAAGGGGGCCAGGCTGTACAGTGACTGAGAGTTAATCAGAGGCTATCACAGCGATTATGTGTTGCGGAATCTGGAGTCCTGGGTCCCAAGCGTTAGAACAAGACTAGGGGCTCTCAGTGACAGCTTGGTCTTTGTGCTGGGAATGCACTGTGCAGCGCACTTGCAGCACAAAAACAGGTACGCAAATATGTGGCCCCATGGAAAAAAGCCCAGTTCTGTGAGGCCGCATATTTGTGTGGTTAAAGCCTATGTGTGTATGGACACATAGGATAACATGCTGGGGAGTTTACTGGCTGTAGGAAAAAAATGCCAGAAGCCAAAACAGCCGCTGTAAAAACGTCCCGTGTGCATGAGGACTTGTTTGTGTGCCCTTTATGTCTTTGATTGCACATTTCTTGTCCAGGATATGGTTTGTAAACTGACATTTCCAGTTTGTTCTTTACCTGCATAATAGTACACTAGGCGTGTAGAGAGGGATTGACTGTGGGCGGCGATAACAAAATTCCATTACTCCCCTTTCACCACCCACACAAGGACCCAGAAATACCCAAAGGAACCCAAGACCAGGGGCGGACTGACAACTCATGGGGCCCCTGGGCAATAGGAGATCATGGGGCCCCTGTGTCCTTGCCCAAACTCAAAAAAGCCTATGAAAAAGGTACCAGGGGCATCTCATGGGGCCCCTTACTGACCCCGAGCCCTCGGGCAGTGCCGGAGTTTCCAAATGGTCAGTCCGCCCCTGCCTAAGTCCCACCGATATCAACTCCCAGAATTGATACGAGTGACTCCCACAGCCCGCCCTGAAACTTCACAGATTCAAAGGAACATGAGACATTTAGTATCAGGACTGAAACAGAAAGCTGCTGCATACAGCTAAAGGAGGTAAACTACACACAAACTGACAGCGTGGCTGTGATTCATTAAGATGCAGAATGCAACTGTTGTTCTGGGGAGGAAAACCTGGAGATTACATTCTAGATTGTTTGCATGATCATGTGATCAGCTCATCATGTGGTTCTCTTTCTGCTCATATCTCAGACGTAATCACAGGCGTTGGGTTTTGGTGCGCTTGTGGACTTCCAGCTCTTGAATTTTACACACGACTGCAGCTGTTCCTCTGTGCCTGATCTTGTCTACAGGGCTTCTGTCATCTGACAGGTAAGAACAATACAACTATCCGATGATATAACTGACATTTCTTCTTAGTTCTCATGCACACTCCATGTTTTTACAGCGGCTGTTTTTGGCTTTTGATGTCTTTTTCTACAGCCAGAAAATTCTGCAGCATGTTATCCTATGTGTCCATGCACACATAGACTTTAATCAGCGTTTTTTGGCTGGAAAAAGAACCCAGGACTAGTGGGGTTCTAGAGGAGTTTTCTAGCTCTAAAAACGCTCTAAGGGCTCATGTACACGGGGCGTTTGAAAAACTCTTTTGACTTCTGGAAACTGTCTGCTAGAAAACGTAGGTTAAAAACTTCAGTTTAGTCACGTTTACCTACCACATTGCTCGTTTGCGTTTAGAAGCGTTTTTATTTAATTATTTATTTGTTTATATAAAACTTTTACAAGTCGTACAGGAAACAATAATACATTTAGGTGGACGCCACTAGAAGAGACAGCGAACCAGATTCAGTCCAGATACACATGAAATCAACATCAAGAGAGTCGAGAGTCATTACAGCTTGACAAGCCTGCAAACCAATCATACGCTGACAGCATCCAAGCCATAGAAAATAAAATAAAGAGAAGAGAAAAGAGTAGAGAAACAGCAGAAGGCGAAGCAGGAATGGAGAAGGGAATTCAAGCCACTGAGTTCAACAAGGAATCACATTATTATTATTATACAGGATTTATATAGAGCCAACAGTTTGCTCAGCGCTTTACAATATAAAGGGAGACAATACAGCAATGATTCAGTTCAATACAAGAGGGATAGGAGGGTCCTGATCCTTGGAGCTTACAATCTAAGAGGGAGGGGCTAGTGGTACAAAAGGTAATAACTGTGGGGGATGGACTGGTAGAAGGAATAGAAGATTCCATTATTAGCCGAGGGCAGGATAGGCTTCCCTGAAGAGATAGGTTTTCAGAGATCGCCTAAAAGTGGGCAGAGTAGGCGATAGTCTGATAAATTGGGGTAGAGAGTTCTGGAGGCTGGGGAAGGCTCTGGAGAAGTCCTGGAGACAAGCAAGGGAGGAGGAGACAAGGGAGCTAGAGAGCAGGTCGTTGTAGGAGCGGAGAGGACAGTTTGGGTGATATTTGACCAGATTGGTGATGTAATTTGGGGCAGAGTTATAAATGGTTTTATATGTGATTGTTAGTGTTTTAAATTTTATTCATTGGGTAATGGGAAGCCAGTGGAGGGATTGACAGAGAGGGATGGAGGACACTGATTGGAGGCCAGTGGAGGGAATGGCAGAGAGGGATGGCAGATATGGAATGGTTCAGGGGCGGACTGACCATTTTTAAACTCGGACACTGCCCGAGGGCCCAGGGTCAGTAGGGGGCCCCATGAGATGCCCCTGGTACCTTTTTCATAGGCTTTTTTGAGTTTGGGCAGGGACACAGGGGCCCCATGATCTCCTATTGCCCGGGGGCCCCATGAGTTGTCAGCCCGGCCCTGGAATGGTTAGTAAGGTGGATGAATCTGGCAGCAGCATTTATGATAGACTGAAGAGGGGATAGCCTGCGATGAGGTCGGCCAATGAGGAGGGAGTTACAATAGTCAAGGTGAGAGATAACCAGGGAGTGAATAACTTGCTTAGTAGTTTCAGAGGTTAAGAATGGGTGTATCTTGGAGATGTTGCGGAGACTCCACCACAAGATTTGGACAGTGATTGGATTTGAGGTTGAAAGGACAGATGGGAGTCTAAGATTACACCTAATACCCTGGCATGAGGGGAGGGACTGATGGTTGTGTTATTGATGGAGAAGTCAGGGGAGGGGGCACAGGCTGGAGGGAATAGTATGAGCTCAGTTTTAGAAAGATTCAGTTTGAGGAAGTGGAGTGACACCCATGCCGATATGTCACTTAGCAGGTTAGTAATACGAGTGGAGACTGAAGGGGTGAGGTGAGGAGTAGAAAGATAAATTTGTGTGTCATCAGCATAGAGATGGTACTTAAAGCCATGGGAGTTTATCAAGTGACCAAGGGAGGAGGTGTAGAAGGAGAAGAGAAGGGGTCCAAAGACAGAACCTTGAGGGACCCCTACAGAAAGAGTAAGTGGAGAGGAGGAGACAAAGTTATAGGTAACACTGAAGGAGCGCTGCGATAGGTAGGAGGAGAACCAGGAGTCTCGGAGTCCAAGAAAGTGGAGTTTTTTGAGGAGGAGGGGATGGTCAACAGTATCAAAAGCCGCAGAGAGGTCAAGTAGTAAGAGTACAGAGTAGTGGCCATTGGTTTTAGCAGTTAGTAAATAATTACCGTATTTTCCGGCGTATAAGGCGACTGGGTGTATAAGACAACCCCCTAATTTTCCAGTTAAAACATAGGTTTTGGGCTATACTCGTCGTATAAGACTACCCCCCTTCTGAGGCAACACCATTTAACCCCTCGCCTACAGGGCACTTACACCCACTTCCCCCCCCCAGGCCAATTTCCAGCTTTCAGCGCTGTCACACTTTGAATGACAATTGCGCGGTCATGCAACACTGTACCCATATGAAATAGGTGGCACTGATGGGCACTGATGAGGAGGCACTGGTAGGTGGCACTGATGGGCATTGACAGGCATCACTGATGGGCACTGAAAGGCAGCACTGATACATGGCACTGATAGGCGGCACTGACTGGCACTGTTAGGTAGCAATGACTGGCACTGATAGGTGGCACTGACTGGCACTGATAGGTGCCACTGATGAGCACTGATAGGTGGCACTGATGCACACTGATAGGCGGCACTGATTGGCAGCACTGATGGGCATTGACAGGCATCACTGATGGGCACTGAAAGGCAGCACTGATACATGGCACTGATTGGCAGCACTGATAGGTGGCACTCATTGGCATTGATAGGTGGCACTGACTGGTACTGATGGGTGACACTGAAAGGCAGCTCAGATGGGCACTGATATGTGGCATTGATGTGCACTGGTAGGCACTGATATGTGGCATTGATGGACACTGACAGCTGGCACTGGTGGACACTGACAGCTGGCACTGCTGGGGCTACACTGATCATCAGGGCACACTGATCATCAGTACCCTAATGATCAGTGTACATTTCCCCTCCGCGGAAAGCCAATTACCGGCTCTCCTCTCCTCTGTCAGCGTGACAGCTCGAGAGGAGAGAAATGCCGATAACCGGCATTTCCCTGTTTACATGTGATCAGCTGTGATTGGACACAGCTGATCACATGACCGAGCCGACATCTTCGCTCTTTCCGTGATCGGTGATTTGCTGTGTTCGAGGGACACAGCGCATCGCCGCGCATGCGCGGAGAATAGGAGGACGTCATATGAGCCAATCACGGCGAGTGATGTATTCTATTAATGAATACAGAGCCTGCTTGGATGGGGTATGTTTTTAAGTAAAAAAGTAGTCTTATACGCCGGAAAATACGGTAGTGAGTTTTAGTAGAGCAGTTTCAGTGGAGTGAGCAAAAGCCAGACTGTATAAGGTCAAGAAGGTTGTTGTCAGCTGCGCAAAATCACGTATATATGCACAAGGCGCGCAACCACCCTGCCAACTCCGCCGATCGTGGCCACGGGTGTCAATCACTGGGTTCCGGACGGTGATTACCCGCCGGAGCCTAGCGATTACCGGCAAACACTGACAGGGAGAATGGCTGCAGTGTTTACACTGCAGCTCTCCTCCCTGTCAGTTTGAGCACACTGGTCCGGAACGCTGAGCACAGCTTTCCGGATCAGTGTGTTACTGTAGAGAACACATCCCTTCCTCCACAGTGCCATTAGGACAGTGTCAGTGTTTTTTTTTTTGCACTGATCACTGTATTGGTGTCACTTGGGATGTCAGTGACCCCAAGTCAGTTCCTCCCAGTGTCAGAATGTCCGCCGCAGACCCGCCATAAGTAGCTGATCACCACCATAAGTCGCTGATCGCCGCCATTATTCGTATAAAAAAAAAAATTCCAGTATCTATATCGCCATTTTTGTAGATGCTATAACTTTAACGTAAACCAATTAATTTACACGTATTGGGTTTTTTTTAGTAAAGACATGTCGCAGAATACATTTTGGCCTAAATTTATGATGAAATTAGATTTTTTACACTTTTTTTTACTGGACATGTTTTATAGCAAAAAGTCCAAAATATTGTTTTTTTTTCTCAAAATTGTTGGTCTTTTTTTTATAGTGCAAAAAATAAAAAAACACACAGGAGATCAAATACCACTAAAAGAAAGCCCAATTCGTGGGGAAAAAAGGACGTAGATTTTATTTTGGTTCAACGTTGCATGACCGCGCAATTATCAGTTAAAATAACTCAGCACTGTAACACAAACCGCTTCTGTAACCGCTTCCTGACCGACCTATGGCAGAAATACTGTTACAGGGCGGCACGGGTGCTCAAAATCAAGTATATATACGTGATTCGCGCTCCCGTGGTTTTCACGCCCCTCCCAGATAGCGTCAGATTGCCCGTCAGTACACCAGTATTCACATTTAACTCCTTGATTTCCAGGAACACGCTCATGCACAATAAACCTCCATTGCTAGTATAGTGTCTGAGCGGATCAATGTCTTTGATCAGATCAGCACTATACCAGCATTCACATTAGTATAGAGTCCCCAAAAATGCAGTGTTAGCGGGATCAGCCCCGGCACCTGCCAGCACCTGCTTTTAGCTCCTACACTTACCCCCCCCTTCTCCCCCAGCAAGTGCAGTGTCAGTATAGGTCACTGTCACTTGATACATTGCACACAAAACCGCAGTGTTCGCAGAATCAGGCCTGATCTCTGTTAGCACTTGCCGGTAAATTTTGATGACTCTTATATGCAGCAGAGTGCCAGTACTAGTGCCGCGCTACCTTTTGGTGAACTGGCGAGCACCAGTGGCCTAGTACATCCTGGTCTTTCACATACCAACACTGCAGTATCACTTGGTGACGTAGCGAGTCCCATAAGTGCAGTATAAGCTGCTGCGGGTGGCAAGCACAAGTATTGTCCAGCAGCCACCAAGAATTCGCACACAGGCCTGTAGAGCCCCTAGTATCCTTCTGGATATGGTTGCAAATCACAATTGGCAGCCCCCAAATTCTGCAGCACCCGTACTTCCCTTATTCACTGCCCAACCTGAAATTCAGGTGGAAACAGCAAATGTAACTACTTCCCTTGATTTTTTAAAGCTGTTTTTTCACGGCAGATCTGTATGCATTGATTGTGGATCAAAAGCAATTTATATGCACAACAATTTATCGCCGCCAACCCAAATTCAAACTTTGACAGACCAGTCTCATGGAAACTCATTACAGTTTCCGAATTTTAATTTTTTTTGGGCCTAACCTCCAACATAAGCATTACTAAAAGAAATGAATTGTGGTTGTATTGGTCCACAGACCTGATTCATCATATGCCTGTGTTCTCTGCTGCCATGCCAGGCAAAGATATGAGAGTATAATGTGTTTTATGCATTTCAATGACAATACACTCTGTCATCCTTGAGGTGACCATGAATTTGACCGGCTCCACAAAATTCAGCCCCTCTTAAATCACCTTAACCAAAAATTTGCAGATGTCTATACTCCCCAGCAAAATATCTGTGCTGATGAGTCCCTTATTAATTTTTTCTGGCTGCCTTGCATTCAATTTTTTCCCAGCAAGCATGCCAGATATGGGGTCAAGATGTAGAAGACCTGTGAGAGGGCAACAGGCTATACTTATAAGTTTCGGATTTACAAGGGAAAAGATAATCACATGGAGCCCCCCGGATACCCAGACTACATGGGGAGTAGTGGTAAGATAGTTTGGAACTTGGTGTCATCCTTTTTCCATATGGGGTACCACTTATACGTGGACAATTTTTATTCAAGCGTGCCACTATTTAGACATTTGTACAATCTTGGAACTGGCAAATGTGGCACCATGTTCCCACCATTAGAAGTGGGTGGATGCAGGGCGGTATATTCTAATGGTGGGCATACCACACACTTTTTCTGGCAGAGATTTCTTCTCTTTTTCATTCAGCCCACAGGCTGCATACAAAAAAAAAAAAAAAAAAAAAAGAACATAGCATACAGTGGGGGGTCGATAGTTTGGGCACCCCAGCTAAAAATTTGTATTGATGTGCATAAAGAAGCCAAGGAAAGATGGAAAAATCTCCAAAAGGCATCAAATTACAGATTAGACATTCTTATAATATGTCAACAAAAGTTAGATTTTATTTCCATCATTTACACTTTCAAAATAACAGAAAACAAAAAAATGGCGTCTGCAAAAGTTTGGGCACCCTGCAGAATTTATAGCATGCACTGCCCCCTTTGCCAAGCTGAGACCTGCCAGTGTCATGGATTGTTCTCAATCATCGTCTGGGAAGACCAGGTGATGTCAATCTCAAAGGTTTTAAATGCCCAGGCTCATCTGACCTTGCCCCAACAATCAGCACCATAGGTTCTTCTAAGCAGTTGTCTAGAAAACTGAAACTGAAAATAGTTGACGCTCACAAAGCTGGAGAAGGCTATAAGAAGATAGCAAAGCGTTTTCAGATGTCAATATCCTCTGTTTGGAATGTAATTAAGAAATGGCAGTCATCAGGAACAGTGGAAGTTAAAGCAAGATCTGGAAGACCAAGAAAAATATCAGACAGAACAGCTCGCAGGATTGTGAGAAAAACAATTCAAAACCCACATTTGACTGCACGATCCCTCCAGAAAGATCTGGCAGACACTGGAGTTGTGGTACACTATTCCACTATAAAGAGATACTTGTACAAATATGGTCTTCATGGAAGAGTCATCAGAAGAAAACCTCTTCTACGTCCTCACCACAAAAATCATCGTTTGAACTTTGCAAATGAACATATAGACAAGCCTGATGCATTTTGGAAACAAGTTCTGTGGACTGATGAGGTTAAAATTTAACTTTTTGGCCAGAATGAGCAAAGGTACGTTTGGAGAAGGGGCACAGAATTTAATGAAAAGAACCTCTGTCCAACTGTTAAGCATGGGGTTGGATCAATCATGCTTTGGAGTTGTGTTGCAGCCAGTGGCACAGGGAACATCTCACGAGTAGAAGGAAAAATGGATTCAATAAAATTTCAGCAAATTTTGGATGGTAACTTGATGCCATCTGTGAAAAAGCTGAAGTTAAAGAGAGGATGGCTTCTACAAATGGATAATGATCCTAAACACACCTCGAATTCCACGGGGGATTACATCAAGAGGCGTAAACTGAAGGTTTTGCCATGGCCTTCACAATCTCCTGACCTCAACATAATTGAAAATCTATGGATAGACCTTAAAAGGCAGTGCGTGACAGACAGCCCAGAAATCTCAAAGAACTGGAAGACTTTTGTAAGGAAGAATGGGCAAAGATACCTCAAACAAGAATTGAAAGACTCTTGGCTGGCTACAAAAAGTGTTTACAAGCTGTGATACTTGCCAAAGGGGGCAGTACAAGATATTAACTTTGCAGGGTGCCCAAACTTTTGCAGGCACCATTTTTTTGTTTTCTGATGTTTTGAAAGTGTAAATGATGGAAATAAAATCTAACTTTTGTTGACATATTATAAGAATGTCTAATCTGTAATTTGATGCCTTTTGGAGATTTTCCATCTTTCCTTGGCTTCTTTATGCACATTAATACAAATTTTTAGCTGGGGTGCCCAAACTTTCGATCCCCACTGTATATGCCCAACAAGGAGCAGCAACATACTGGTACATCACTGGACTTTGAATGGTTATACCAGGATGATGCCTACAACTTCAGGCATCATCCAGGAATCATTTTTTTCAGCCGGTGATCGGCTTTCATGTAAAAGCAATCCTAGTGGCTAATTAGCTGCAGGATTGCTTTTACAAGCAGCAGGAAATAATGCCCTCCTCCCCCACTACCTTCCACGGCCTTCTCAGGAAGTCCCGTGCCATCAGGGGAACCTGAGAATACAGCCGGTGTTTCTGCTAGTTCACCATAGCAGCTGATTGGAGACCAGAATGGTGCCCATCATCTCCATAGTCTAGAAATCAGAAGCTACAAGCATTTCATCACTTCAGTTTCACAGGATATAAACAGCATCATTAGTAATCTGGGAAAGCATCTGATCACACCGATCTTGGTTTGATTAGATAATGTAAGGGCAGAGGAGATATCTAGAGTCTGATAGACCCCA